AGAGCTTGTCCATAAAATATCTGTGTCTGACCCTCTGTCCTCAGCCCCATCAGCCAGAGCGTGTCACATCCCACTGAATCCCAGGGATGCTGATGAGGCAGCCAGCCAGGGCTCCTCTGCTTTCCCTCACCAGCCAGAGGCTGGCTGCGTTACCTCTTGTACCCTCTCCAGTCCAAACCCTTCCTGCTCTCTGAATCCACTCCTGACTCTTCCAGGCTGACACTGCTCAATGGCATTACCAAGAAGTGATCCTGTCACTTGTGTCTCCTTCCTGTCCCTCTTCAGGGCCAGAACATTCTTTGGTCTCCCCAAATCGCAGTGCTGGTGTCTTATCTCCAAATATCTGGACAGACCTGAAAGGTCACATTTTCTGCTGCTTGGCCTGGGAGCCTTCTCTGGAGCTGGAGCATTTCTCTTCTCCACCCTCCCAACCCTGAGCAGCTTTCTGGCCCTGCTGAGAGGTTGGTGCTGTCCACAGGCTGGGCTCCAGCCTGGAAGTGGTCTCCTTCATTTCTGCCAACTCTCCTGGCATCTGTTCCTATCTTTTGGACCTCTCTGCTTTTTCCTTTGGAACAACAGTGCTGCCATGTGCTTGACCTTTGTGTCTTGCTGTTCTTTCCACACCAGAACTTTCTGAAGTTCTGCTTTGCCCTGACCCTGACTTGCAGCTGAACCTCAGCCAGGTCAGCCAGGTCTGTTGGGTTTTCCATGTGTGATCCAAGTGCAGCAAGAGCAGCTGTGGGTGAGCCATGGACTGCACGAGGTCTCAGTCCTGGCACTGGAGTGCTCTGGCTGGTGGACACCAGCTCCCCGTGGAGATTTCCTGTCTGCTGGTCCAGCAGCAGCTGGCAGTGCTGGTGAGGAGGAGTCACAATCAGCACAATCACAATTCAGACTTTCAGGCTTTGCTGACACCTTGCCCCTCCCAGGCTGAGGGAATTGGGGGAGGAGAAAGCTTCAAGGAGACTTTAGAGCCCCTTCCAGTGTCTAGAGGGGTTCCAAGAGAGCTGGAGAGGGACTTGGGACAAGGGCATAGAGTGATAGGACAAGGGGGAATGGCTCCCTGCTGCCACCAGGCAGGGTTAGAAGGGATATTGGGAAGAAATTGGTGGTGATGCTCTGGCACAAGGTGCCCAGAGAAGCTGTGGCTGTCCCTGGATCTCTGGAAGTGTTCAGGGCCAGGCTGGATGGGGCTTGGAGCAACCAGATTGAGAGGAAGTTGTCCCTACCCATGGCAGGGGGTGGGAATGGATGATCTTTTAGGGCCTCCTTCCAACTCAAGCCATGAGTCTATGATCTCTAACCCCTCTCTTCTCCCCATGTGCAATGCTGCATCACCTCTGATTATTAACCCACCTTTTGAGGGTGTCAGACCCATTTCTGCAGCTTTTCTCCTGCCCACCCAGGAGCTCTGAGCTGTTACCTGCTCATGGTGCAACCTTGGTGAACACTCAGGTACCATCCACCCCTCCAAGGTATGGTGCAAAATGTGCTCTGACAGATTTTAGCCAAACAGCTCCTCCAGCCTTTGATCCCTGTTTCCAAATCACTGCCAAACCCCTGTCCCTGCCCTCACTGAGGGCACACTGTCATCCCGGTTGTCTCAGAGCATTTCCAAGAGCTGTGATCCATCTTGCTGCTGGGAGGACAAGCCCTGCCCCAGCTAAGACCTGGATTGCTCTTCCCATCCTTCTCTTTCTGTTTGTTTTACTCAAAATGAAGGGGGAAATCAGTCTGGGGACATGGCTTGTGTAGGTCAGAATGGGTCAGAAAGGTTGGAGATCACGGCAAAGAGAGGAGATCGGGGCTGGAGGTACAGAAAAGCTGGGAATGCAGCGGTGGGACAGCACGGAAAAGACTGCTCTGTCCTGCCCCCATTGCAGGTTCCGTGTCACACACATCGGGAAGAAGCCGTCCGTGCAGGAGCAGCAGGACGGGGCCCTGCCCGCCGGCAGCCGGCAGCCGAGCACGGAGGAGCTGGAGCGCAGCAGCGAGATGCTGCAGCGGGAGCGGGCTCTCAACGGGACTGTCCCCACGGGCGGCCTGCAGAACGGAGCCATCCCGACGGGCACCCAGAGTGGCAGAAGCGCGGAGCAAAGCCTGTCCGCCAGCCCAGCCGCGAACACACCAGCCAGCTCCGGCACCCGTGACAGCCGGCGGGCGGGCGCGGGGTCCGGCACGGCGGGGTCCGGCACGGTGGGGCTCGGCACGGCGGGGTCCGGCCCGGTGGGGCTCGGCACGGCGGGGTCCCTGCAGGATGCTGGCTCCGCTCCCGGGAGCTCGAGCCGCCAGCGCAGGCTGATGAGCCTGCCGGTGCTGGGAGCGTCGAGTCCCAACATCCCAGGAGAGCTGGCACGGGAAGGAGCCGGCATCTGCCTGGAGGAGATCGGACTGGCGTCGGCAGATGAAGTGTCGGATATTCACGGGAGCCTGAGTCTTCAGGAACAGGCCGATGAGCTGGGGAGAGACGAGAACAGCAGGAAACAGTCCGGAGGGGAGGACGGGAAGCAGCAGGTATGTTCCTCCTCTTCCTGGTCCCCGTGTGGTCCCCTGGGCTGGAGGGGGATTTCTTTTCCCCACCCATTTTCCAGTGTCTGAGCAGTGGAGTGACTGTGACAGGTCCCACCCTGCTCTGGGGCAGTGGGAAGTGCTGCGGACCTGCTGCCCATTCTCCTTGGCAAGGGACTCCTTTTCCTTTGGGAACATCCATTGGGATTTGACCTGGGAGAGCTCCACTGCACCACGTAGTGTCCCCAAAACCGTAGCCTCAATGGGGTCCAATGTGGCCAGTAAGGAACCGGCAGGGGCAGATTTCTCCAGGAACCTTTCTTACCTTGAAGACCAGGAAATGGCAAAGCCAAGTGGTGATCTTTTGGCTGTTTTCCCCTGCTCCTGAGGAGCTGTGCTCAGAGAGGAGGAAAGCCCACCCTGCCTGGAGCTCCCAGTATCCTGGTACCTCCGAATATCCCACCCAACCGCCTTGCTGGAAGGGGTTAGAAAGCTCCAGGGGATTTTCTCCCTGGAATTGCCTCTGTGCTGTTACCAGTGAGCAAATGAGGTTGGTGGTGGTGTTCAGACACCCAGAATTTCACTCACAGACTCACACACTCATTCATGGTTCTGCAGCTGGGAAAAGGTGATTTTCATGGAAGGGGGCTGGGAAACACTCCCTTGTGTAGTGTCAGCAGCTCCAAGAGCTGGGTCTTGGCTTGCCTCACAAAACCAGCACCAGGGCACGTGTGGCAAAGCCCTTGGAAGAAAAAGGAAGCCAAATGCCTGGGTAAAATTCCTGGCATGCTTCAAAGCCATGGAGATCCCCTCAGGCTGGTTCTGCAGGGCTGGGCACGGCCCATGCACATGCCAGCAGCCCTTGGCAGGGGGTGGGATGTGGCAGGATTGGGTCAGCACGGGAGCGGCCTGGGAAGGGTGCCTGGCTGTATGCTGGATAAGGGCAAAGCAGGATCCCACTGTTTCCCTCTGCTTTCTGGTGACCAGGCTGGAAGGTTTGAGCTGTTTCATGGAGAAGGGCAGCCCATGGCAGGATAGAGCTGATGGGCTGCAGCCCTTCCCCAGAGACCTGGGGAGGTGGTGACAGGTCCTCCTGTGGCCCACTGAGCCTTGGGAATCCTCTGATCCGTGGGGAAGCAGTTAGGTGCAGGGCAAGCCCAGGCACATGGTGATGTCTGTCCTCTCCACAGTGCCAGGCTTTTGCCCTGGATGCTGCCTGTGGTGCTGGGCTGCTCCAGGACATGGGGGCCCAGGAGAACGGTGACAGGACCTCCCTGGGATGTTTGTCCCCAAGCCCTGGTGCCACTTGGACCATCCCCAATCCCCTCAGTGGCAGTCACAGCCAGCACGAGGGTTGTTGGCTGCTCATCACGTCCTGCAGTGGTGGGGAAAGGCAGAGATGGTGCCTGGGCTGTAGTTGCTCCTGGAGACTCAGTGGGGTTCTGCCCCTCGGGTCACTGCTGTGGCCACGGGAGAGCCCCGGCCCAGCCCCCGCTCCACGGGAGTGCTGACCCCCTCCTCCATCCCACAGGAGCCCAGCGCCGCGGAGCAGGACCGTGTGTGACGTGAGTGCCTGTCCCCTGCCCCTGGGACAATGTCTGGGGCGGGTGGGAGGGCACTGTCAGTGTCCCTGCCCCGGGGGGTCTCAGCTTGCTGCTGGAGATGGAGAGAGGGTGAACCAGGGGTCGGGATGTGCCCAGCCACAGGCAGTGACCCCGGGAAGTCCCATTTGCGGGTGATGGGGAGGTGCCATGGCTGTGGGCACAAGCCCCGTCCTTCCTCTCTCCCCGCAGCTCCTCTCCGCTCCCGGCTGGAGCGTGCACCGGAGGCGCGCAGCCCCCGGGCCCCTCGGGGCTGGGGCTCTGCCGTGGGGCAGCCGCGGGGCAGCCGTGCCCGGCCCCGGGTGGGCAGCTACGCGCTTGGCATGGCCGGAGCGACGCGCCGGCGGCACCGACAACCGCGCTCGGCGCCAGCCTTCATCCCATTGGCAATAGGTACCCGAGTCCCACCCACCGCACCCTCCCCGGAGACCCCCCCGAGGGACCCGAGGGCCTGGCAGGGGCAGGACAGCATCCAGAGCCCGCTGCCCCCGCGGCCCCCCAGCTCGGGGGAAGAATCAGAGGGGGCCGCGGCGAGGGGCAGGGATGGAGGCAGCGGCTTGAGCCCCCCCCGGGGCGGTGGGGAGCACCCCCCAGCCACCGGGCACGTTCACCACAGAGCACAGCCCCCCCCCGGGCACCCCTGCCACGCAGAGCGGGCACAGGCACAAATCCTGCACCGGCAGGTCCCTTGGAGATGCTGGTGGAGAGGAGCTCCCAGCCCCATCCCGGCACTGGAGGGGCCGGAGCCCGGCCCTGGGGGCGGGATGGCCCCAGGCCAGGCCAGCAGGCAGCCCCGGGGCCGTGCCAGCTTCGGTGTGTAACGCCCTGTACATAGATGAGCTACAACCATTAAAGCTGCTGAACCCCTCGCCAGGGCCAGCGGGATTTATTGATTTATTTGGAACAGCCCCGCATGCTCGCTCCTGCCAGTGGGGAGGTGCTGTGGGGGCTGGCAGGGTCCAGAGATGAGCCCCCCAGGAACCAGGGCTGGGAGTGCACGGGTGATGCCAGGCAGGAAGGGTGGAGGCAAGAGGGGGGTGAGATGGGGCCTGGCTGTGGCACTGGGCACCCCAAAAAAGGGTTCTGGGTGCTGTACTGGGATGCAGGACCACTCTGCAAGCAGCACTGGGCAGGATGCAGCCCCTGGAGAGACCAGCTCGGGGCATGGGGCAGCAGCAGCCCAGGCTGCTGGGACAGCAGCCTGTGGTGGTTTGCTCAGGCAAAGCTTTTTGGGGGATTGGGGCTGGGGGCACCCACAGGGTCAGCTGAAGTGAAGCTCAGGGTCGGGCTCGGGGGCTCTGCCGGGCGGCGGGGGCGGCGCACGGAGCTGCAGAGAGAGAGAGAGGAGGGGGAAAGGGAGAGAAGTGGTGCCAACATACTGAGGCCACTCATCCCCCTTCAGACCACACAAAACACAAGGGTGGCTCCATTACAGAAGGGCTGGGGCAGGTTTTGGGGTCACAGCATCCCTGTGAAGGGACTTACTGGCCGCAGGCGTGTGGCTGCCAGGTCTGGAGAACTCTGCCCGCTGCCCGTGCCATCCTGTCGGCAACCTGGGAGTGCCCAGAAGCTCAGCCTGCCTTTCCAGGCTCTCCCAGCCCCTTCCCAGTTTCCCCAGCACTCACCTCCCAGAGCTGTCTCAGGAGCAGGGCTGGGGACCAGGCTGGCCCCGGGTGCAAGGCCAGGAGGGGAGAAGGGCGGAGGGGATGGTGATGGCAGCTCCTGGGAAGACACAGCCAAGAGGGATGGGCATGGTGGGAAGGGGGTCTTCACCTCGGCACTCATGGAAGTGCCAGGGTGACACAATGACCCTCCTGCCACCGACCTGCCCGGCTGCCTCCCGGGCCCCGGTGAGCTCCTCCACCACCAGGGAGGGGAAGACGCCGACGCGGCCATCGAAGTCGCCGGTCCAGAAGCCATCGTCCACCTCGCCAGCGGCGCGGGGCAGCACCCGGATGATGGCTCCCTCAGGGAAACTCAGCTCCTCAGGGCTCTGCCCCTCGTAGTCATACAGGGCTCGCACCAGCCAGGCTGCAGGGAGGACGGGGGCGGGCTCAGCACCCTCTGGATCCCGCCCCCCTCTCTGGGGTGGGGGTGATGCCCAGCACCCACCTCCAGGCTCCAGCACCAGTTCTGCAGCCATGATGCTGGAGAGCTGGCGGTGCAAGGCACAGGGGCCTGGGGGGCCCAGCCCAGCACCCGAGTCACACCCCAGGGACAGCAGGTACTTTTCGGGGACGTAGCCAACCTGCCCAGCCTTGTTCCGAGCCTGAGGAGGCAGAAACCATGTGAACATCCCAGGCTCCAGAGTGGGACCAGCCTGAGGACCTCCAAAAAGTGTGCCCCAGTATGGAGGGGGGCTCAGTCTCCTCCCACCTTCACCCACTCCTCTGCATCCCCATCCTCGATGATCTCCAGCTCCTCGCCCTGGCTGATGGACAGCTCGTCCGCCTGGCAGCCCTGCAGAAGATGGGGACAAAGTGGCAGAGGGGCTGAGGTGCCATCCCTCAGCAGTCAGGGTGAGGGTCAGGCAGGCAGGGCCATACCTGGTAGCCAAAGATCACCCGGCAGGTGTAGGGGTAGGTGCGGGCAGCAGGCCCAGGCTCATCGTCCTCATCTGGCTCATCACTGTCCTCGTAGTCATCGAACTCGGCCGGGTCCAGCCCTGTGGGGGTCTCCTCTCCTGTCCCCACCATGGCCCCGGCCAGCCAGGTGTCCACGTCCAGCCCTGCCGCCCGCAGCAGTGCCAGCCGTGCCTCGGCCTTCACTCGGCTCACCTGGGGACACCACGCATTGTCACAGTCCCCAGGACACCTGTGGCGGTGTCCCAACCCCCTTGCCCCCATCCCCAGGGGTGGTGGCATCCCCAGCACCACGCCCCAAGGGTAGCATCCCAGCCACCACCCCTCCCTGTCCCTGCACCCTGGGGGTGACAGATCTCGATGTCACCCCAAACTCCCTGACTGGGGGTCCCACCTCTGCCTTGCGGATGTTTTCCCTCACTTCCTCCATCTGCCGCTCCACGGCCGCCACTTCTGCCTCCAGCCCCTGCTGCCGCCTGGCCTCCAGCCGCTGCAGCACCTGGGCGGGCACCCACAGCTCAGAGGGTGGTGGCAGCTGGGAAGGGGCTGCAAAAGCCCCTCCCTGAGCCCCCCAGTGCCCCATGGGGCAGGACAACACTCACCTCCTCACTGTGTGCCCTGTTCTTGTGCTCTCGGGCCACCCGCGTGGCCCAGCGCCGCGCCTCCTTCTCCAGGCTGGCCCCATCGTCTGCTGGTGGCAGCAGGCACACCTGGGCAAGGACACGGCGGTGACAAGGGGCTGGCTGTGCAGACCCCACCTTGCTGTAATGACCCCCTCCGCTTACCTCCTCCACCCCAGTGAGCTGGAAGCGCTGCTCGGGCGCCAGGGAGAAGGCAGGGTGGTCCTGCAGGAAGAGGAGCAGGTCCTGCTCCCGGCACACCTGCAGCAGGGGAGTGGCATGGGGCCGGGGGCTCACCTGTGCCCTCGTGTCCCACCCAGCTTGGGGGACAGTGCCATTACCCGTGCGGATGCCTCCACAACGCCCTGGAACCAGTCCCGGGTGGCCCGGCAGGTCTCCACCTCCGTCCGGCTGGCAGCCGACAAGTGCTCCCGGAGCCGCTCGTAGAGGTCCCCGTCCAGAGCCTGGGGGAAAGCAGATGGGAACACCCCCAGCACTGCCACATCCCCACCCTGGAGTGTCCCTGAGCCCCCAGGACAGCCAGCCCTGACCCTGTGCCAGCGGGACCCTCCCTGCTGGCAGTGGGGAGATACTCTTTGAGGGACCCTGGGGAAGGGGCACGGGGGGTCTGGGCATCTCCTACCTGCATGGCTGCGGGCAGCTCCACACGCTGGTAATGCTCCAGGTGGGCAGAGGCAGACACCAGGGCAAAGCTGTACTCATTCTGCACGCCTGCCAGCTGCCTCGAGTGCTCAGCCAGTCGCGCTGAGAACTGTGGGGACATGGGCAGTGTGGCTTGGCGATGGTGCCCTGTGTCCCCCTGCATCCCCGCACGTGGGTATGCTGCCAATCCCCGCGCCACTAACCTTGGCACTGAGCTTTTGCAGGCTGGCCTTGGTGTGAAATATCCGCCGGTCGCTCTTGCGGAGGCTGAGGAGGATGGGAGGGGGTGTGAGACCACCCCACAGCCACAGCAGCCCCCCAGCCTCGTGTCCCCCACTCACCGCGCCTCCACATCAGCCGCCTTGTCCTTGGCCACCTCGCTGCTGCGCCGCAGGTGGCTGAACTGCTTCTTTGCCTTGTCCAGCTCCTTCACCGTCTCCAGCAGCTCCACCTGCGCCTTCTGCAGCCGCTCGATGCCCTGCAGGGAGCGTCAGCGGGGGGGGACAGCTGTCCCCACTGCCCGGGCACAGGGACATGTCCTTGCCCCGGTACCTTCTTGAGCGTCCTCTCCTTGGAGAGGCGGGCGCTGCGGGCGGCCTCGGCGGCCAGGGCGCGGTAGCTCTCAGAGGCGGTGACACGGACCTGCCCGGCGTGCGCTGTCCCCTCGATGACACCTTTCCAGACAGCGGCCACGCTCCTGTGGGCACAAGGTTAACACAGGGCCAGGCACTCCCTGCCCCGTGACACCTTTCAGGGATGCCCAGCAGGACTGCCAGCACCCCCAGACCCAGCAGGACCCTGGCACTGGGGACATCCCACCCACAGCTGCATCCCAGTGACACCCAAATCCTAGCTGGCAATAAACATCTCCAAGCTGGGAGGGTCATGGGCAAGAACAGCAAGCCCCAGCTGCTTGTCCCCAGCCCTGTCCCTGTCCCCAGCCCACCTGGAGTCGCCAGACTCGCCACGGCCCCGCTGCCAGTCTCTCTTCACGAACTGGCTGGCCAGCCTCTGCAGTGCCTGCAGACAGACCCGGCATCACCAGCACTGCCCGACCCTGCCGAGCACTCCAGCACCCACCACCCCCCACTGGGCCCAAAACTGGGCTCCCCACCCGGCTGCCCACCCCATGGACCTGGGGACACACACGTGCCCCCCCAGAGCACAGACACATCCCCGTGGCTCAGTATCAGCAGGAATCCCATTGTGCTCTCCATGACAAAATCTTTTGGGGGGGCAGCCACCACAATGAAAGGACACCCCCACTGTGGCTTTTGGGAAAGAGCACCTGCAAAGGGACATCAGTGAGGGACACTGGCTACAGAGACAGAGTAGAGGAGCCCCAGCAAAGCCAAGTACAGCAAGACCCCAACCCTGGGGAGGATGGATGGTCACCCCCAGCCTGGGGGGTGTGAGGGAGGGGAGTGACACAATGACCAGCTGCAGGAAGGGGGGACACAATTCTACTGCAGTATGTCCCCAAGGAACACTGCAGGGACATCTCACATCAAAACCAAACTGACATTTCAGAGCAGCGCCCTGCGATGACCCAGCAGACAGCAGAGCCCAGCGGTTTCCTCCCCCCACAAGGTTTTCCCTCCAGGCTGCCAAAACACCCAAGGTTTGCGCCATGCTGTGCTCAGCAGAGCCCCCAGCGGGTGCTGAACGTGGTCAGGGTCCTCTGGCAGGATGAGCCATCTGCTGGACCCTCCGGGGCCAGCACGGAGCAGCCACGCTCGGGTAATTTCCGAGCTCATTGCCTGCGTGGGGCCGTGCCCAGCTCCTGCCCCAGGCCGGCAGGATGGGGCCAGGGCCCCCCAGGAACATTGATCCCGAATCCCGTGGCACCTCCTTACCTGCCCATACTCCCTGTCAATGGTGGCCCTCTGCTTGCTGTAGGACCTGGGGGGAGAGGGGACACAGAGAGGACACACAGAGAGGGGCAGGCATGGGCTACCCCTGCTATCACTTGCTGCCACCATCCCCCTGCCATCACCCCCTTACTATCCTGTCCCCATCAGGCCACCCCAGAGGGTGATGGAGCCCATGACCTCGAGGTGACAGGCTCAAGGTGAGCCGTGCCGGGTCCCTGGCCCACCCGTGCCGGGTCTCAGCTTGGCGACACACACACACACACACACACACACACACACACACACGTGGGATGAGCTGTTTAATCTCAGCCTGGGGACACACACACTGCTGGGATGAGCTGCCCGGTCTCAGCTTGGGGACACACACACTGGTGGGATGAGTGCCTGGTGTCAGCTCGGGGACACACACACAGACACACAGACAGGATGAGCTGCCCGCTCTCTGCTCGACCCGGGTGTCACCTGTGCGGGCCCTACCTGATGTCCTCCAGCAGCTCGGCGTCCCGCTGCTGTTTGCTCTGCAGGCCCGACAGCTGCTCCAGGAGATGGACCCGCAGCTCCTGGGTGAGCTTCACCTGCGGGAATGTCCCGCTCAGCCCTGCGGCCGCGGCGGGCACGGGGTGCGGGGATGCGCTGTCCGCCCTGCCCGGGTACCGGTGCCCACCGACCCCCAGTCCTGAGCGCCACCCAAACGCGGCCTCGCTTCCCCAGCCCCGGGAGGCTCCGCCGGGGGCGAGTCTCGGTCACGGCTGCAGGACCGGGCCCCGGTGACCCGCCCTGTGGCCCGGCCCGGCCCGGCACGGCACGGCACGGCCCGGCCCGGCATGGCCCGGCGCTCACCTTGCGCGGCGGCGGCTGCATCGCTGCGCTGTCCCGGTGCCGATCCCGATCCCGGTGCCGGTCCCCGATCGCCGCCACCCCGACCCGCGTGCGCGGAGCCCGGAACTGCCGGGCCGGCCGCGCCCCGCCCACTGACCACGCCCCACACTGACCACGCCCCTACCCTCCACAGACACGCCCCAAGACGAGCCTGCCCCACCAGGCCCCGCCCACCGCACAAGGACGGACACGCCCCAGACCGCGCCCCCAAGCGGCCCCGCCCTCGGCCCCGCCCCTTTACCCGCCCTGCCGGGGAGCCCCGCCCATCGCGCCCAGCAAGCCCCGCCCCTCGGGGGCTGCAGCGGCGCCTGGTGGTCGGTGCTGCACGTGTGGGCGGGGCGATGGGACACGGAGACGGGGACAGGGGGACATGGGAACACAGGGATATGAGCGGGAAGGACATGGGGACATGAGGATGTGGGAAGACAGGGACATGTGACAGGGATATGTGACATAGGGAGATGGGAACATGTAGGTGGGGAGACAGGGACGTGGGAACACAGGGATATGAGAGGCAGGGACATGCAGACATGGCAACATGAGAGACGGGGACATGGGGACGAGAGAAGACAGGAATATGGGACACAGGGATATGTGAGACAGGGACATGGGGACATGGGAGACAGGAGGACAGGGACATACATGGGGACACAGGGATATGAGAGATGGGGATGTGTGGGAACAGCACCACAGGGACATGAGGTGATGGGGAGTACTGTCTTCAGGCAGGGGGTCATGGGGACATGGGGAGTGCTGGGGCACACAGCACTGGAATCACTGGGGACCGAGTCCTTGTGCATGAGGACACACAGGACACTGGTCCCAGGATAGGACACATGGGGTGCTGGGGCACTGGCCCTGGGATGTGGGGACGTGTGGGACACTGAGGGGACAGCCCCCAGCACAGGGACGTGTGGGGTCCCACATCACATGAGGACACAGAGCCCCTGGCTTGGCAGGACTCTGCTGTGGGGACAGGGGCACAGAGCTGAGCAATGGCATTCAGTGGGGGCCACCTGGAATCATGAGGGGCTCTCAACCAGTCCCTGAGTCTCCCCCGTCCCCCTCCCAACCCTCTCCCACCCCCTTCATCGCTCACTTCTCTTTCTGTCTGGATTTCTCTCTGTGCTTCCTGCACAGCTCATGGCCCTCCCCACTGTCCCATTTGTCCCCGTCTTTCTTGTCCCATGACATTTCTGGGGTTGGCTGCACATGTCCTGGTCCCCTGGTGTGTGACGATGCACAAGGGTGGGCTGGGGATGTGTCACTGGCTCTGGTATTCCCCTTCTTAACTGGAAAAATGGACCGGAGGTCACCCAGCTGCCCACTTTGGTGACAAGAAGGGGACAATGCAGGGTGGCCCATCTACACCAAGCTGTGACACCAGCATGTCAGCCTGACCCCAGTGGTGGGTCCTGGCAGGGCTGGGCAGGCAGGATGCCCAGTGCCCTGGAGTGCTGCAGTGGGGCAGGGCCACATGTCACCCGGCTGGGAACCCGCTGCCACCTTCCTGTCCCACACACGGGGCACAAACAGCTCCATTTCCCGCTGTGGTTCTCCCGGCTGCCTCCAGCTGCCTCTTGCCGCTTCCTCCTCCCCACGGTCGTGTGCGGTCGTGTGACGGCAGCTGGAAATTTCGCTCCCTCGGTGGCGTGCCTCAGGTGCTCAGATGGTGACAACTGACAGTCACCCCACGCCTCAGTCTGGCTGCCACACCGCAGGGTTGTGGGCAGGATGCTGGTGTGACGTGGTGGAGACAAAGGGGGGTGTCAGCAGAGAAAGGGACGGGTGACAGCCCTGCCGTGTCACCAGCCCTGTGCCATTTGTGCAGACCTGGCTGGCACAGTGGTCACTCCACAGAGATGTCCTGGCGGCTGCTGTCACCTGCATCTGCTGCTACTTGTGTCACCCTCCTGATCAGCTGTGCCTGGCTTGGCTCTGCCGCCCAACCCTCCTCAGGTAAGTGTCTCAGTGGATCTGGGGGTGATGGGGTAGGGCAGGGACACCTCACTGGGACACCCCAATATCACATCCCGTGACACTTGGAGGTGATGGCTAGGTGACATGGGGAGAGTTTGGGGCCCTGCTCTGCTGCCTTCCCTCAGCGTCCACATTGAGGATCTGAGTGAAGACGTGAAACCCAGCCAGCATTTTCCCTTTTGGCAGCAAAATTCGGATTACTGCTCTTGTAACCTGAATTTTCCATCCTCTGGATGTGGAGAGGGGGCAGAGGTTGTGGGAGACGCGTTGGATGCAACCAAAGCCCCCCGGGGTAGGGTGTTCTGGGGACCATCAGGACAGAAATTCTGCAGCTGGGAATGACGTGCAGAGACAGAGACTGTCTGGGTGTTGTTTTTTTTTTTTTTTTTTGAGCAAGCCAGAAAAGGGATTTGATCCTGGGTTGTTTCTCTGGTGTCCTGGGGCCTTCCTGTTCTTCGCTTTAGTTCTTTGCACACAGTGAAAAACCCCTGACCACAGGAGATGAGGCGATGTCTCCGGCTGTGGCGGGGAGCGGAGTTGGGGACATGGCTGGGACTATCCCAGCCCCGTGCTGCCCTCCTGACCCCGTTGTGCCAAGCTGGGTAGGACAAGGGACATCGGCAGCAGCAGGGCTGTGGAGCAGAGCCCGTCCGGGCTCAGAGCAGGGCACCCAGCTGGGCTGGCACCGCTGCGGTGCTGGCTGGCACAGAGTGGGGCACAGCTCTGCAGGGTGAGGGCAGCAGGGTGTTGGGGGCTCCCTGCCGTGGGACAGGGAGATGCCACCTCCTGTGTTTAGTGGTGGCTCTGCAGGGAGGTGACAGCTCCTGCCCTCGGCTGAGCCCAATGCCTTGTGTCCTCTTGTGTCCCCACAGTGCCCAAGAAAGGGCGAGCCCTGCTCCCCCTCACTCCCCAGGAGAAGAACGTGTGCTCCCAGGCCTCCGAGGAAGATTTTCTCAACAGCACCCTCAGCACCCGCCTCCTGCCTGCCCTCTACTCCGCGGTCCTGCTGGTGGGGCTGCCAGCCAATGCTCTGGCCTGCTGGGTCCTGGCCACCAACTTCAGGAGATGCTCCAGCACCATCTTCCTGCTCAACCTGGCTGGGGCCGACCTGCTCTTTGTCCTCTTGCTGCCCTTCAAGATCTCCTACCACCTCCTGGGCAACCACTGGCCCTTTGGGGACTACCTGTGCCGTGCCATGGTGGCCTTCTTCTACGGAAACATGTACAGCTCCATCTTCTTCCTCACCTGCATCGGCCTGGAGCGCTACATCTCCGTGGCACACCCGTTCCTGTGGAAGGGCTCCAGTTGGATGAGAGGCAAAGTGGGCATCTGTGTGGGCATCTGGCTGCTGGTGGGGCTGGGCATGAGCCCTCTGCTTTTGCGCTCCCACACACACCATATCTCCAGGCTGAACATCACGACGTGCCACGATGTGCTAGAAAAGGACACCCAAATGTTCTTTGGCTACTATTTCCTGTTCCTGGTGGGGCTGGGCTTTGGCCTGCCCTTCGTGCTCATGATCATCTCCTACAGCTGCATCCTGGCGCGGCTGCTGGCCAAGGGAGGGAGCCACGCACAGGTGGTGCGTGTCCTGGCCCTGGTCCTCCTGGTGTTCATCCTCTGCTTCACGCCCAGCAATGTGATGCTCTTCATCCACCACCTGCTGGAGCCCACGGGCTGCAACAACGGCACCTACATCTCCTACACCCTGGCCCTGGTGCTCAGCGCCTGCAACAACTGCTTTGATCCCTTCATTTACTTCTATGTCTCCCGGGATTTTCGGGGCTGGGTCCGGGATGCAGGAGGCCGCTGCCTGCAGAGGCTCGAGGCCTCATCAGGGAGGTCCACGGAGAAGACAGCCCTGCCCCTGAGGTCCAGTGAGCAGAGCCAGGGCTGCCAGGCTGTGTCCCCCTGCCCTGGGGATGGGGGAGCCTGAAGCATGCTCCCCACGAAGAGCTGGCAAAAGACTTGGGCAAAAAATCCCACCTGGATCGGAGGTTCACAAGGATTTTGCCTGTTTTGCCCCCCCCGATGAACTAGCATTGCCCAATCCCATGGGACCCTCAGCTGGGTGCCTGGCAGCCTGATCTCCTCACCTGCCAGACCCTGGCATCCCTCACCGCTCCTCCTGCAGTGACCAAACCCTCCAGAGTACAAATAAACCTTTATTTCTCCCTGCCAGTAGCAGGAATAGGTACAAACACCCTCGCTGAGGAGGGGCTGTCCTCCATCGCCAGGACTAACACCAGGCACACATGGCCAGCCCTGCTCCTGCTGCTCCCCCTTTCCCCCCAAAATATGCCACAGTGGATGCAAGAAGGGAAGGGGGGATGGCTTGGGTGTCCTGGCCCTGCCCCGCAGGCCCAGTGCTGGAGGGGACATGCTGTGTTTCCCCGTGCTGGCAGGCACCCCATGCCCCCTGCCTGGCACGGTGCCATGCTGCCAAAACATGCGGGCACCGCGTTCCTGCTTTCATTTCCCCTTTACTTGTGTCCCTCGGTGCTGGGCTCGATGACAGATGTGCCACCCATGAGCAAGGGCACGGGTGGCAGCAGTCCCGGCCCTCCCACGAGGGGGTACCACGGCCCAACATCCTGGTCGCCACTTGTCCCTTCGATTCCCCATCCCAGCCTGGCTCTGGGATGAGGAGGAGGAGCAGGGTGGGGGGTTCCATGATGTGGGAGTGTGGGGTACCCATCATTGCTGCCACCGGGCACGACTTGACCCCCAGGTCGGTGGGCACCCCTTTGGCACAGCGATCACGTCACGGGCTGGCCAGGCCCCGCGGGTTGGCCATCGCTCTTCTTGAGGATGACACTGCTGAGCTCCTGCATCAGTTTGTCACTGATGGGTGAGGGAGGCTGCAAGCTCCTCTTCCTGGGCAGCTCCAGGGAGGTCTCTGCAGTGGAACTGCTCTCTGGGGTGGCTGCCTGCTCCCAGTCCCTGCCCAGCGCCAGGGAAGGCTCCACGTTCCTCTCCAGAGAGGACGTTTTGGTGGGTCTGAGCCCTGGGCTTGGAGCTTTGTTGCTCTCCAGGTTCAAACCCCTTTCGAGAGACACAGCTTTGGTGACAGAGGGACCTGTCACTTTGTGGGCTGGGCTGGCGGGCAGTGAGGAGCGCAGGGCGGTGCCTGGGGGCTCCTCGGGGAACGGGGACGGCTTCTTGGACCTGTCCACGGGGGGCACGGCCGCCAGCTCTGCCAGCAGCCCCTGCCCCAGGTCCAGCGCCGCCAGCTCGGGGAAGTTCCCCACTTCCTCGTAGACAGGATCAGTGTCTGCCTCCTTCTCCTGCTGCTCCTCCAGGGAGTCCTGGTGGATCTTCATGGGCTGGGGAGGGCAGGGGGCAGGGTGAGGGGCACTGCCCACACAGCTCAGCTGTACCCCTCTGTCCCCCCTCACCCTGCCCTCCCTGCTCTGCTGGGGATCCTCGTCCCTCACC